AGTCAGAGTCTCACTCCGTCGCCCAGACTGGAGTGCCGGGGCCGCTCCCGGCCACCACAGCCTTCACCTGCTGGGCTCCGGCGATCCTTCCGCCTTCCGAGTAGTTGGAACTACAGGTGCGCACTACCACACCCGGCTGATTTTTTGATTTATTGTCAAGATGAGGTCTCGCCAAGTTGCTCAGGCGGGTCACAAACCAGCGGGCTAAGAATCCACTCACCTCAGCCTCCCAAAGGCGCGGGATTACAGGCTGAGCCACCAAGCCCGGCTACCCCTTATCTTTAAAATAAAATAAAGTATTGGCTGGGAACAGTGGCTCACAACTATAATCCAGCACTTTGGGAGGCCAGAGTGAGAGGATTGCCTGAGCCCAGGGGTTCGAGACCAGCCTGGGCAACTTGGCAAGACCCCATCTCTACAATAAATCAAGAAAAATTAACCAGGTATGATGGCGCATGCCTATAGTTCCAGCTACTTGGAAGGCTAGGCGAAAGGATCACTGGAGCCCAGCAGGTCAGGCTGCAGTGGTTGTGAGCATGCCACTGCCCCCCATCCTGCACGACAGAGTGAGACTCCAACTCAAAAAATTAAATTAAATTACATTAAATTAAAAAGTACTAGAAAAAAGAAAGAAAAATTATGGAGCAATAAAAGCTCAACTAAGGTTAGCGTCTATTAGTATAATAGTTTCTGAAGATTTTTTTAAAATTATTTATTTATTTTTTATTATGAAGTTGTGGGGTACAGTTAAGGGTTAGGTATACAATTGCGTTTCATTCAGGCACCCTGTTGATATGAGGTGCTTCCCTGTTCCCAGACAGATATTTGCTACTGTTAATTCCATCTCCCTCTGAAGATTTTTTTAAAATGAAATATTACTTGACTAGTATGCACTTTAAAAAGCAAAAAGTTTATAAAATATCCTTTAATCTTTCAAATATGGGGGTTTTAATAAACTTAGGAATGAAATATATGAGATATATAAGCATAAGTCTAAAGAGATTAGTGACAGATTTACATGTATAATTCTGAAATATGTCAGTATCTCTTTATCTTATTTATATAGCCCATTCTGCTTATAAATTGTTTCAGTGCAAATAAATGGTTCAGAGCAGATCAGAAACTTTATCAATGTCAGTTGTCTCAGCAATTTCTAGTCATGAATGAACATTTATAGAAAGCCAATTAATAAAGCAAACTGTATTTATTGAACTGCCTGTTTTAATAAGGGAAAGAAGATTTACAATATACATGCTAAGAGTCATTTCTGACTTTTTTTTTTTTTTTTTTTTTGAGTTGGAGTCTCACTCTGTTGCCCAGACTGGCGTGCAGTGGCACACTCCCAGCCACCGCGGCCTCGACCTGCTGGGTCCAGCAATCCTTCTGCCTCAGCCTTCCAAGTAGCCAGAACTACAGGTGCACGCTACCACCCCCAACTAATTTTTTATTTATTGTAGAGACAAGGTCTCGCCAAGTTGCCTGGATGGGTCTCGAACCTATGGGCTCAGGTAATCCACTCACCTCGGCCTCCCAAAGTGCTGGGATTATAGGCTGAGCTACCGAGCCCAGCCCATCTCTGACTTTCACCATTTAAAACAACATAGTTTTGTCAAGTTGATTCTGAATAAAATAAAACTTATTTTATTCCCAGAACCAAATTAATCCAAAGTTCTTCCCCTCTCCTAATGCATTATCAAAATTACAGATTACATGCTCAAAAAAAATTTCTCAACTTCACTTGCCTATCTATAGCCTACATTATTCCAGAAAAGATTTTAAGTGTTTAGTAGTTTCTCAGTATTTTCCTAGACACAGATACCTTTTAATTACTATTTAAATTACAGTAGTATGAAGTCTTTTCCTGTTTGAAAGTTTTCTGCTACGTAATATTTTCTTAGTTACTTTTGCAGTTCACACTTACAGTCAGTAGTATTGGAATATACTATGCTATATACAGCATACTTTTCCAAAGAGAGCATATCAAGTAAAAATGCCTAGAAGTTTATGGGTATGGCCTCACATTTGAAACCCTCATTTCTTCTTTACATTTGAAATTCTTATTAACTTAAATGTGTCAAATAGGAATAATGTGCAAGACATTATCTTTAGTGTCCAAAGATAAATAAGACATAGTTCCTCCTTTACAAAGCTTAGGGTACATCAAGTAGAAATGTATACAATCAACAAAAATTAACTTGAGAGAAATCATGCTTGAAAGCACAAAACAACTGAGTCTAGCACATGACAGGGACTCAATAAATACTTGTTGAAAAAATGAAGTGGAAGAGTCAGGTTCATCTACTTGAAGCTGGACTTACTCTTTTTTTTTTTTTTTTTTTTTTTTTTGGGTAGGGAGTCTCACTCCGTCTCCCAGGTTGGAGTGCAGTGGCACACTCACGGCCACTACAGCCTCGACCTGCTGGGCTCAGGCGATCCTTCCACCTCAGTCTTCCAAGTAGCCAGAACTACAGGCACAAGCCATCACGCCCAGCTAATTTTTGATTTATTGTAGAGGCAAGGTCTCACCAAGTTGCCCCAGCTGGTCTCAAACCCGTGGGCTCAGGCAATCCTATCGCCTTGGCTTCCCAAAATACTGGGATTACAGGCTTGAGCCACCATGCCCAGCAACGTGAATGTATTTAACACTACCAAACTATATACTGAAAATGGTTAGGATGTAAAATTTTGTTATGTGGATTTTCTCACAACTGAAAATTTTTTAAAAGAATAGCAAAAAGGTAAGGAGGCAAATAATTATAGTGCAAATTAAACAAACTTCAAGGTAATTCAACATGGCTAAAGCATGGGGATTTAGAGGGAGCAAGGGAGTGCCGCGTAGACAAAAGTCAAAGCAACTTAAAAAGATACTGCTGGAAAACACAGTCAATGAGACCATACGCTAGAGCTTTGGAGAAGCCTTCAGAGACTGCTGAGCAGTGAAATGACACAATTATTTTAGAAAACTAACACAGGGAGAAACATGTGGGTTGAACCAGAGAACGGGCCACAGATGGCAGGACAGGAAACAAAGAACTGAGTACCACGTGTTCTCACTCATTAAATGGACCCTGAATATTTACCATAAGACTACATGAATGCAGTTGGCAGTACCAGGTCACCGCCGGGGGCCACAGAACACTAATAAGGGTACCTGATCCCAAGCCAGGCGAAGTAAAGGCCAATGGGAGGCCCAAACTTCACCTGTATGATGACCACTGATGGACCTAACCCTGAACTGTACCCCACATAAAAAAAAAACCTAAAGAAAGGCAGCTGGAAGTAGCCCAAGTCTAAATGAAGCACTGGCTCTGAGAATGAAAAGAAAGGAAAGCATGCAGAGAAGCTGAAGGAGATGAGGCCTGAGGAGTTGTCGCTAGATTTTTACAATTAGTAGATCACCGATCCCTTTCAGGAGTGTAAGCAAGTGGAAAACAGAGGTTACAGCATGAATAAAGAAGAATACTAGAAACATGCAGACTATCCCCTCTCAAGAATTTTAACAGTAAAAAGAGAGGAGACAGGGCAGTAAGGATATGCAAAAGCAGAGAGAAATGATTCAGCCTTTGTGTCGTAAGGCTTATTTTGTTTTGTTCTATTTTTAGGACCAGAAGAAATGGAACATGAGGGAGATGACATATGCCATGTCTAGGCCTGGCCCATGAAAAGCTTCCCCCATGATCCTCTGTGCTCCTTCTTTCCCTGTCTGCCAGCTGAACATCAACACCCAGGGTGACTCTGGAAACTACCCCAGAGCCTCCATCAGTCACGGAAAAGCCCACCCCACCACGACTGAATTGATACAGTGATAAGCAAACTTCTATTGTGGCGAGCCACTGAGATGGGAGGGAGGGAGGGAGGAGCTGAGCATGGGCAGAGAGGCCAAGGGGATGGAACCCAGTGAAAAGATGAACGACAGACCCAGGCGTACAAAGATCCCTGTGTCTATGCGTGTAGCAAACGGAAGTACTTCACTCAACTGCATGCAAAGGCAAGCCAAAAAGAACTTAAGCAGAAGGATATTCACACAACCATGAACTGGAGAGCAGCTACTAAAGTAGTTTCTTCTATCACACTTTCTCCATTTTGCTAAGTTACAAAACTCTTCTGTCCTTCAAAATTATTTAAATGAACTATTTGAAGCACTTTGGAAAGGGTGTGATTTTCTCAGTCCACTTCTACTTGGAAGTACTCCTAACTAAATCACTTGTCGTTCTATCAAACTAAGGCAGCTGAGAAAAGCCCTGGAAGCCACACAGATGATGAACCTCAAATGCTCCACTCCAAGGGTAACCCACTCTCCGGAAGAGCACAGGCAAACTTTCTGGTGCAAGTGTGCTTGAGTCATTTAATCCAGGTATTCAACTTAATAACAGCATGACTTCCTCTAACATGAACGACATCTCCTTTGTGTACCTGTTGGGACTCCAAGGTATGGTGGGAGCCAGACTGATGTCTGGAAACAAGACCCCGTTGTCCTTGATCCTGTCTAGTGCATAGTGCATTTCACAGAGGGGTAAGCGATTTAACTGAAACTGCAGTTCAACCTGGAACACAAAATGAATTTTTTTAGAAGCCTTAAAGCAAACATCAGTGCTGGCAGCTCACTGGAATACTATGTGGAGACAACTGTTGGGGAACACATTTAGAGATTTGTAAAAGTAGAATCAAATTTTAGCAATAGTGGTGCTGATGATGAACATCTGCTTTATCAATAAACACCGTAAGAAGCACTTGACAAGGACTGTCTCATTGAACAGTACCAATGATGTAATACTATTAACATAACTCTACACATTAAGAAAATGATACATTTGTAAATTACCTAATTTCTAGATAAAGGTTATCTGACTGCACCATTCCTATAAGGATATATTTGATAAAAATCAGGACATCAAGGAAATATGATTGATAACCAGCTCTAGACACTGTATCCATGTACTATGAACAAATAATACTGACCGAGTTTTCTGTTTGAAAAGAAAAAAGATTAGCCTTCCAGTTAAATATGGCAGACTGAAGACACATTCACCTAAAAACCCATAAAGAAAAAGAAAACAGGGATACAAGTGCAGAAGAGAGATGTCCCCAAACGTAGCTTAAGTAGTTTCTTTTCATTTGTTCTTCCCTTGCTGACTTAAAACTCACAACAGAAAGCTCAACGTTATATAAAACTGGAACATTCTAGATATTACTTAAGTTTAAAAAATTCATTTTTTTCTGGGAGTTACCAGGGATCCCATTCTCAAACCACCAGTATAAGACTTCTGAGTCAGCTGCACTTTTATTTATGGCAGAAGGAAAACCAAACCAGAGGAAGGCTATCTAGCTGGCAATGAGATAATAGCAGCCATGGCTGAGTTGAGTGGCTACCTTCAAACATACCTGTGTGTCACAATCAGGCCGAAGATTAAGTTCTTCACAGCATTCCCTGGATATCCTTAAAAATACATATTCTTTTGTTTTCTCTTCAATAGTAGCTTCATAAACCTTCTCTTTGGTTCCCTGGGTCTGTACTAACTTCTCTTTAGGAACTGGTAATAAATAAACAGCATTGACTTTGGTCATCACCAGTCGTCCAGCCAAAGTATCTTCAGAAAGTGTTTCAGTAAGCTTAAAGCGACCAAAAAGTTGTCCATTCTGAGCATACTTTGCACCTCCAGAAACTCCAGTGAGCATGAAGCTTGCTAGAATCTGCAATTGCACTTTAAGGTTGAACCTAAATCAGAAGTAGAAAACTAATTTGAATATTTTACATCAAAACTTGAAAACTAGAAGAGTAAAAAATAAATACAATATAAATATACCCAAAACTAAAACTATATCAATTCCACTTTGTTGTACTTAAACCCATCTTTCTGTCTTGAATCCAAGCTGGAGATAACAGAACTTTTCTAAAAGTGAATAAACTCCTGTGCAAGTTACATAAAGACACACACTAGGTGTGTGTTGAATACTCACACTCCAAAAAAAACTGAATACTTAAACTAAAACTAAATGTGATGTCTTTAACAAAGTGAAATATTATGTATTAATTAACATAAAAGTCTGACTGAACACACGATTGGGACAAGACTTTAAAATCACCAGGAACCAGTAACACATTGCATTGAAACCACAATGGACTTTAAAGCCAATTGCTTCCCATGCAGCTCTTACCAGAATATTTTAACCATAAATTTTCTCTTTCAATGTTAGTGAATGACATCCAAAATATATTTTCATTCATGGCTACATGAAGGCAGGTCTTGTGCAGGAATTATGAAAAGGGAAGGCAATGCCTATCTTACTAGACAATGGTCTGTGCACATATGCTCTCATGTGTACACATGAGCACGAGAGAGAACATGTGCGTGAAAGCAGCACAGAGAATCAAGATTAACTTACACAGTCAGGAAATAAAAGTGAAAGAAAGACTCTAACTGACAGCTCTTCTCCTTTGTTGTTCCAAAATGGTGCTGCAAGAGGTAAGGAAATGTGGTAGAAGTAATGGGAGAATTTTCTCCTTTTCTGAGGTTTGTCTTAGTCTGTTTTGTGTTGCTATAACAGAATACTTGAGCCTGGGTAATTTCCAAAAAACAGAGATTTACTTCTTACATCCTGGAAATTAGAAAGTCCAAGATTAAGGGGCTGGCATCCTGTGTGGGCTTTCAGGCTGCATTATCCCCTGGTGGAAGGCAGAAGGGCAAGAGTGTGCAAACAAGAGCAAGAGCAAAAGAAGACTAAACTCACTCTTGTAACAACCCACTTTCACAACAACAAACCCACTCCTGCGATAACCACCTTAATTCATTCGAGAGTGGAGCTCTCATGGCCCAATAACCTCCTAGCAGTCCCACCTCTTAATACTGTTTCTTTTTTTTTTTTTTTTTTTTGAGTGGGAGTCTCACTCTGTCGCCCAGACTGGAGTGCAGTGGCATGCTTCCGGCCACCGCAGCCTCGACCTGCTGGGCTCCGGCGATCCTTCCGCCTCAGCCTTCCAAGAAGCTGGAAACACAGGCGCACATCACCAAGTCTAGGTAATTTTTTGATGCATTGCAGAGACAAGGTCTCACCAAGCTGTCCAGCCTGGTCTTAAACCCCCGGACTCTGGCAATCTTCTCGCCTCTGCCTCCCAAAGTGCTTGGATTACAGCTGTGAGCCACCACACCTGATCAATACTGTTTCAGTGGCAATCAAGTTTCAACATGAGTTTTGGAGGGAGCTGGCAAACCACGGCATCCTGCCCTTGGCCCCTGAACTCAGGTCTTCTCCATACCCAAAACACATCCGCTCCATCTCGAGAGTCCCCTTAGTCGAGACTCTTCCCAGCATCAGCTGAAAAGTCCAGAGTCTCATCTGAATCAGATATGGGAGAGACTCGAGGCAAGTTCCTCTCCAGCTGTGAGTCTGTGACATTATCAAGTTACACGCTTCTAAAATACAATGGTGGGACAGGCACACAACAGACATCCCCACTCCTCAATGGAAAGACAGGCAAGAAGAAAGGGGCAACTGGACCCAAGTCAAGTCCAAAACCCAAGATGGAAAATAAAATTTAGTCTCAACGGTGACACCAAGTCCCACATTCCTGAGGTCTGGCGGCGCTCAGTCCACTCCGCAGCTCTTGCAGGTTGGCAGCCTGTACCTGCAGCTTTCCTGGCTTGCAGCTGCTGGTCCGGGAGCTGGCCCACTCTCAGGCCTCCACTAGGCACTCTTCAAGTGAGGGCTCGCCGGGGTGGCCCCACTCCATGACAAGTCTCTGCCAGGGTCCCGGGTTGTCCAACACGTCCTCTGAAACCTAGGTGGAGGCTGCCCTAGGCCCCACAGCTGAGGCGCTCTCCACCCTATAGCCACTGCAAAGGCTTCTGCCTGCACCCCAAGATATGGCTCAAGATGCACCTGGGCCCTCTGAGCCCAGTTGAGTAGCCCAGGGGCACTGCCAAGGACATGAGGAGGAAAGTCCCAAGGCAGCCCAGGCAGTGATGCTGAGGTCCCACAGGCACATCCCTGCAAAAGCCTTCAGGGTCACTCGTCCATGTGGTCTTGACAGCAGAACCTGGTTTCCTTCAGTCCAAATTCATCTCTTAACAAAAGGTCACTTGGCCACACCCTTAGTATCCTACTCCAAACACACTTTTTTATTCTTCATATGCCCAGGCTGAGAATAGTTCCAAATCATTCCATTCGGTTTCCTTTTTAACTACAAATTGTTTTTAAATAATTTCTCTTCTCTGATTTTACAGTAAGTAGCCAAAATAAGCCACTCAGCACCTTGAACACTTTGTTGCTTAGATATATCTTCTGCTAGTATCCAAGTTTACCACTCCTAAACTCTGTCTTCCACAAAGCCCTAGGGCACAGACAAAATTTAGCCCAGTTCTTTGCCACTTTATAACAAGGACAGCCTTTACTCCTGTTTCCAATAAAATACTCCTTTATTCCAACTGAGACTTTGTCAGCATAAGCTTTACTGTCCATATTTCTACCAACATTCTGACCACGACCACTTAAGTAATCTCCAAGAAGTTTCAGGCTTTCTCAACAGATCTTCTCTTCTTCTAAGCCCTCAACTAGAAACACCTTTAATACTCCACTTACAGCAATCTATGTTTTTCTAGCCTGCTCCTCCAAATTCTTCCAGTCTTTCTTTGTTATCCAATTCCAAAACTGCTTCCATAGATTCAGGTTTATGTTACAGCAGTAGCCCCATTTCTCTATATCAATTTTCTATGTAAGTCAATTTTGTGCTACTATAACAGAATACCCAAGACTGGGTAATTTATAAAGAACAGAGATTTACTTCTTACCATGCTAGTGACGGCCATCGTGCTACACTGCCCAATGGCGGAAGGCAGGAGTGCAAGAGAATGTAAGAACAAGAGAGGGCCAAGCTTGAACTCAGTCACAAGATGACATTAATCCACTAACAGGGCAGAGCTCAAGGTCTAATCTCTTAATGGTCTCCACCTCTTAATACCATCCCAATGCCAATTAAATTTTGATATGACTTTCAGAGAGAACATTCAAACCATGGCAAACTTTAAAAATTTTGACTGGAAAATTTAAATTGTTTTAAAATCTAATTTTATCCATCTGTGGAAAAGGCTACTTTTTTTTTTTTTTTTTTTTTGAGTTGGAGTCTCACTCTGTTGCCCAGGCTAGAGTGCAGTGGCCGCTCCCAGCCACTGTAGCCTCCACCTGCTGGGCTCCGGCAATCCTTCCGCCTCAGCCTTCCGAGTAGCCAGAATTACAGGCATGCGCTACCACGCCCGGCTGATTTTTTATTTATTGTAGAGATGAGGTCTCTCCAAGTTGCCCAGGCGGGTCTCAAACCCACGGGTTCAGGCAATCCACTCACCTCAACCTCTCAAGGCATGGGATTACAGGCTGAGCTACTGAGCCCAGCTGAAAAGGCTACTTTTTAATGGTATTACTGAATTGGTCTCTTTTCAGATCTTATTTTGTATACATGATGTTTAGAATGTCTTATAAATCCTCAAGGGAAAAAGAAAAACACTTTAAAAAGCATAGATTTCTTTAATGGAAATATGTATATTGCTTGCAATACTAGAAAACTAAATACTCTAATTAAAAAGATACATTAAAATTTTAAACACTCATGTACATATTTTAAAATTACAAACTTATAAGAATATTTATGTAAATATAGAGAAATATTTTTATAAAAAAGAAAATATTTAATAAAACTGACATGTCCAAATAGCTATTCATGTTTGTAACAAATTATAACAGCTTACAAACTTCATTTGTGATTCTAAAATAGATTTATCATACAATACTTAAGGCTCCAAAAAGATAGACAAATACTGGTCCCCATCTGGGAAAGTGAAGGTCAGTTAGAAGCCCAAACTTCACCTGCATGCAGCCTACTTATGTAGTTAATCCTCACTTGTACCTCACATCTCTATGATAAAATAAAAAAATTTTTAACAGGTAAATACATTCTGAAGTTAATATTTAACAATGTAACTTTACATGAAAATCAAATGCATTCCAGCAGTATTAAGCATTTGCTTAATAGCTACATATGATGTGTGGAATTTCTAAAAATCACACAATATTTCTCTCATTCTCAACACATATTTCACTAGAAACAAACTAACACAGTAGGATGGTAACTAACTAGATTGTATGTTATCTACCTATGTTTGACTTTTTTGTTGTTGTTTGTTTTGTTTTTCTTTATCTACTTTTTTTCCAGGGGAGAGCACGAATGCAGTCCCCCACTACCACAAATTATGCAGTTGAGTTTCCTACCATTTGGGGAAATCGTCAGCACATCCAGAGTGAAATAAATAAACCTCACCCTGGGAAAACCACCTTCATGATCATGGTATCTTCCCTGCCAGATAAGTATATGTTTGACTCTTTAAAGACTGGAGTAGCTGGGTTTGGGGGCTCAGCCTGTAATCCCGCACCTTTGGGAGGCTGAGGCGAGTGGATTGCCCGAGCCCGCAGGTTTGAGACCTGCCTGGGCAGGCAAGACCTCATCTCTACAATAAAATTTTTTAAAAAAGTTAGCCAGGCGTGGTAGCTCATGCCTGTAATTCCAGCTACTCGGAAGGCTGAGGCGGAAGGATCACCGGAGCCCAGCAGGTCGAGGCTGTGGTGACCGGGAGTGGCCACTGCACTCCAGTCTGGGTGACAGAGTGAGACTCCAACTCAAAAAAAAATAAAAATAAAAAATAAAAATAAAGACTGGAGTGTGTTCTACAG